TTCCACCAAAGGTGAGAAAATACCTGCAACAAACCAACTTGCACAGGTTTGTCCAGAGAAATAATATCAAAGAAAACATGTAAACCTTCAGGAGATCGGAAAAAAGGCTGATTTTAAAAATACTATTTTTGTTGAAAACAGAAAAATAGGAAGGAGTGTTTTATATTACTTTGCTTCTTTACTTAAACCTCTAAAAAGGTTGTAAATCTAAGTGAAGAATCTGGACATATTGCTGCATGTTTCTTATTGTTGCTCTGTGAATATTTGCATTCCATTAGTTTGTTTCAGGAAAACTTGATCCACTGCTCACATTGATTACACGGTCAATTATATATAATTTATAGGCCTCAACTGGAGAGCCGCTGCACCATTAAACTTTGATGAAGCCATGTACTACATTCTTTGTTATAGACCAACATGCCAGCCAGCCGCTGTCTGGCAGGCAACCAGAAAAAAGAGGAAAAAATTCATTTATTTGTTGCTAAGTACCATAAATAGAATAATATGTCATAAAAAAAAAAAAGGTTACCATCACGTTTAAGGAGAGTAAGTAGTTTTGTTATTTTAGATATTTTACAAATTAATGAAATAAAAAGACAAACAAAACAGAATATACCCCAAAACAAACAAATAAAAAATCATATTTATATCATCATTTTTTAAACATCCCTCCCATCTTTTTAAATGTTAAAGGCCCATTAAGCTTTTTGCTGCCAATATATTCAGTTTAATAATTTCATTAGAGGCCTTTTTGTTTATTTTTCCTCATTTTTTTTATTTTATTTTTTTATTTAAATAGGTTTATGTGTGTTTGTGTTTTAAGAGAGAGAAATTAAATGAGAAGGTTTAAAAGAAAATATTTTATGGAAGAAAAAAAAATACAAAATGTTGTTAAAAGCAAAAGAAAACAAACAAAAATAAAAATAAAAAAGGGGGTGGGGGGGGGTCCCCAGGTCCTTGTTTGGGCTCCTGCTGCTCTGAGGGCCTGTATTGTTGCTCCGATGGGGATGAAGGGCCTGAGCTCCTGCTTCTACAGCGCTGCGCAAAAACTGCATCTTCTTAACAAACACCCTCAGAAATCAATAGTATCATAACAGCTGATATTTATTATTCATTAATAATGTCTTTATTGACCCAAACCTCCCACTGAGGCAGGCTGCGCTAAAATAAATGTGTTTATTTAAAAAAATTTAAATTAAAATAAAGGATTTTCCTTTTTTAAATTAAGACTATTGTGAAATTTTACACTTAGAGCTGCGGCCTTTTCCAGTTAATCTAATAAAATATATTATGAGCTAATTTATGGTTTACTGTAATTAATCACTATGGTTTTTCAAATAATAATAATATTACTCAGGATATTATTAAATATATTCTTAGTATTGACCCTGGAGTCATAATGAGCGTCACTGAAAGTGTTAATTAGGTTGTAATAGATTAATATAGAAAGAAAGAAAGAAAGAAAGAAAGAAAGAAAGAAAGAAAGAAAGAAAGAAAGAAAGAAAGAAAGAAAGAAAGAAAGAAACGAATTGTTAAAAATAATATATCCAAAATATTAATCATTTTTCATATTATCTATTTCTTCTTTCTATTTGTACTTTAGATGTAATTCTATTTTTTTTTAAATAACATTTTCCTAAAAGTGTTTCTGTGCCGCTTAAAGGTAATTTAATGTTAACAGCCTGTTTTTCACTATAACCTCTTATTTCATGTCGGTGCTTTGAAAACCAGCATTTATCTTAAATGATCCATATTTTTAAACTGTTGTGATCATTTCTGTTGCTGTGGAGGAATTTTACTCACTTGAGCAAAATCATTTCTAAAACTGCACAAAAAAACAAAATAAAATAAATAACAAAATAAAATAACCAGGCGTTACTAAATGTTTTAAAACAGCTTTCCTTTTTGTTCAGCCTAATTATTCTGCTCTTTGAATCCAGTCTGATGATTTAAAAAATACTTTTATGTACTTTCTGGAAATTACTTTATTTTAAATGTTGTAGCAGTGCAAGGTTTTATTTTAGTTGCTCTCTCTGATAGCCTGATGATAACTGTGGTTTAGCTCTTAACTCTTGTTTCCCTCTCTCCATAAAAGAAGAATAAAATTGAAAACTTGTGTAAAAAGTATTCATCCGCTCAGTCCTCTATGCGGTTGAAGGGGCACCAGGCACCATTGAATAGTTTTCTTTATAACATGCAACGTTGATCAATATCAGAGTCACTCATCATCAGAAGCTCTTCATCACCGCTGGGATCGCAGCTTTCAGGCGGAGCTCCTTCACCTCTGGGGCTTCTCCTGTTTCACTGCGGCAGCTGCTCTGCTCTGTGCGGAAAACGTCTCTAAAAGGCGCAGAAATGTGAGCGTTGCACATCCAAGCTCCGCTGCACTATTTAATGCTTACTTTAAAATAGTGAATAAAACACTAGCTGGTAAAACCATGAAGAAAGGCTCTGAGAAGTAAAACGTGCACAGTTTATTTCAGCTTCTGCAGCTTTACAGACACATTTAGAGAACACTTTCACAAATGAAATGTTACGGGTTTTTTCAGAATAAATTAAATTCAAATAAATAACAATAAAAAATAACAAAATCAATTATATTTTTTTCAGAAGTGTTGAAAATATGTATAAATAAGGCCGACCATACCCTCCCTTCATCAAAATATCTACAAAGTGCGCTCCACAAACGGATCAGTGATCAGGAGTCAAACTCATTGGTTTTCATGAGAGGCGGGAAAACATCACTACTAATAATCATCTGATTGTCGAAGCATCGTCATGGTGAACAGGTTTCACACGTCAGTGACTCTTCTAGAGGCCTAATGCAGCCAGTGGCAAAAGAAACGAACAGAAAAACTAACAGACAGTGTTTTTATCACCAGAAATGTGCCATCACTTGCGTAATGAGGTAGACGCACAGCTACGCCGTGTCAATGTGTAAATCCGTGCGTGTTTACATACGTGAGTGAGTGTGAGTTTGCACTTTATTGCAATGCATTCAGTAGGGGGGGTGGGGGGGGGGAGGGGGGGTAGGAAGCACTGCAAATACATCACCCCTTTCTACCATTTTCTCTGGTTTAACCAATTACGCTAATTGCAAATACTGAGCTGCATAACCTGACGTCATCTTTTTATACTCATTTATCCCCCAAACTAGTGAGCTACCAAACAAAAAGTCCTCGGAGGAGAATTCAATACATTTCAATGCGAGTTTCCACACATGGAAGTGCAAATATTCACAATTATGTACAATGATAAATATAAAAAAGAACTATCCGGGCCAAAGAGGCTAATATGAACTATTATGCCTCAAATCCCGCTGTTAGTATTTTTCATGTTTTGTACAATGACTTTCTCAGCCACAATGGTTGCCTTTTCTCTTCAGTCAGAGAAAAGCAGTTTATTCAGATCCAAACAGCTCTGAGAGTCTTTTCTGTCTCCACTGTCAGGACCAAACAAGGTACATCCTGCTGGAAAAGGCGGAAATCAAGAGTTCTTAAACTGGCTTAGCGGCGAAAAGTCTTCAGATGCGCAAGAGTGATGCGCATCTGAGCAAAATGGCGCAGCAGGCGGGGAATCCTCCTTAAACAAGGAAGCGTTCTGATTGAACACTTAGAAGGTTCTCTGAGAACTCGCTGTTGTTCATCTTACACTGTAGAAACGAATTTAGAAAGGATATTAAACCTGAATTATTAAACTTTTAAAATATATATATTAGGTGTAAGTTCAAAAAGAAAAATAATTAATAATGGTTACTAATTCCAGCATGGCTAACCTCTTTATAGGTTAAAATAAAAGGTAAATTAATTAACTCCTGCCAAACTGTTATTATGCATTTTTTATGCTACAAGCAAAGAAATAAAATTGGTTTCAGGATGCATCTTATCCTGATATAAACGGTGCCCAGCTGATCAGGGTTGTTTTGAGTATAACCTTTTAAACTTTACCTAAAATATAAGCAAATCTGAGAAAACTACTGAAATGTATTATTTTATATCTTTAAAATGTGAATCGCTTCATAACATCCTGAAAACAAAGATTAAATCCGCCTTTATTCTCATGTCAGTGAGGCTGAAATATCACTGCAGGTGTTTTTATAAATGCACTTAAAAACCAAAAAAAAACAAAAATTCTCATGATGCTTTTGGTAGAAAAAGTTTCCATATTAGAGGAAGAATCTAAATCTGTTCTTTAGAGTTTAGCTCTAAAGCTGGAGTCAAACCTGCAACCATGCTGAGGTTCAGGCCTGAAATAATGAATGGAATAATCAGTAAAAGGTCTTTATAGAAGCTCCATCGGCTTTGGGGTTAAGAAACTGAGTTAGTTAGAAATGTTTTAATTTAGCACTGTTGCTAAACAAGCAAATGCTAAATAAAATCAGATTTATTTTTTGAAATTTATAAAATTTCTCAGCCACTGATTTCATGATATTTCTTAACAGATGTATTCATTTCTACTGAGACCCATAACAAAAAAAACTGTTGTTAGCAAATGTAAATAAGAGTTGATTGCAAAAAAAGAAAAAAAAAAGAAAAAGAAAGAAAAAGAAGAAGAAAAAAAATAATTTTACCATTAGGCCTACTTGACCAATATGGTGTTATTGAAATCTAAATTATTTTAATGGTTAATATTTAAAACCCTTTCAAATTCGTTTTTATAGTGTAGACCTTATTATTTTTTTATTGTTTTAACATTCTCTATTTTGTGGCTTTACCAAAAACATTTTATTTGTTTTTATTTATTTTTATCATGGAATGCAAAACCATGTGAGCCAAATGAGCTAAATTAGTAAATATTTAACCACTTTAGGTTAAAACAATTCAAAATGTGTTATGTACACTGCAAAAACCATCTAGAAATAAGTAAAACATTTCTTAAATTAAGTCTATTTAACCTTAATTTTAGTAGGTAAATAAGATGATTTGCCAAAGGAATTAGTATTTTTACTCCTAAAATAAGATAATTAGATAATCTGCATTTGAAATAACAATAGTTTGTTTTCTTATTTTAAATGTAAATGTGGCAAAGTGTCTCCATTAGCTACCTCCTCAAATCAATAAAAATTAACTCAATTTAAGCAAAAATGACTTATTTAGATTTAATTTTTTGTAGTGTATTTTGATTAAGTGTCTTTTAGCATTTAAACTTATAATTATTATGTTCATAAATTATCCAAGTATTATTAAGAACTTATTGGTTCATTATAAGGCCTAAGTTTAGTCTCTTTTTTGTAAAGGATGAGTGTATTTAATTTCTAAAACTAATATCTGATAACATTTTTATTTTAGAATCAAAACTATTAATTTTGATTATAAACCTGAGTAGGAGGTGATGTGGTTGAAGTTCTCATCTGATCCGCGATGATCTGGGATGTTTCATTCTATCCGCTCTAAAATTTAAACTTCATTTCCTAAAAGCTTCAATTGAATTAAAATAATACTTTAATAATGTAATAAATGAAGGTGATCAGGTTATTTCTGACTCACTAAGGGATTTAGTTCTAAGTGCGCGTTTTAACGGCCTTGCGGCCTTGGCTGTGCGCCGCGCCGCGCCTCTCCGCTCCCTGCGGGTCTGACGCAGGTTCTCCGGTACCTTGTTGGTTCTGACAGGGCGGCTCCAGCAGCAGAGCCGCTCCGGCAGCTTGTCTCTAGTTAGTGTTTGTGGAAAGCGGCTCAGAGAGCCGCGGCTCCGCCGCAGTCAGCTTCAGTGCGTTGCAGAAAACTTCATCCGTTTCTGCTTTTGCCTCTGATTGCAAAACCAAACGCGGACCACGTTTTTTTTCAAGTCCAGTTTCTCGGCGATCGCGGCGATCTTCTCCGACGAAGGCCGCGGCTGCACCGCAAAATAAGCCTCCAGGGAGCGCTTCTCCGGCGCCGCGATGGACGTGCGTTTCCTCTTCTTATCGCCGCCGTTGAAGATCTCCGGCTTGGACATCTTCTCCCGTTGCGCGCGCTCCGCCTCCTCCAGCCAGGCCTCCAGGATGGGCTTCAGGGCCACCATGTTGTTGTGCGACAGGGTCAGAGACTCGAACCTGCAGATGGTGCTCTGGCTCAGGCAGCCCACTCCAGGGATCTTGAGGTTGGCCAGAGCCGCCCCCACATCGGCCTGAGTGACCCCCAGTTTGATCCGCCTCTGTTTGAAGCGCTCAGCGAAGGACTCCAGCTCCCGGGGGTCGGGCTCCGCGTCCCCGCCGGCGCCCCCCAGGGAGCCGTGGGAGGCCAGCCCGTGTGGGTGGATGTTCATGGACTGAGTGTGATGATGGTGCTGCATGTGGTTGATGGCCGACATGTGAGCGGCGGCATGAGCCGTGTGCGAAGCCGTGGAGCAGACGTCCGAGCCGGGCATGCCCCCCAGAGAGATGCCGGGCGTTAGATGGTCCAGCAGGTCTCCTTCCAAACCCTGCGCCGGCTGGTGGTGCGCAGGGTGGTGGTGTGAGGTCAGCACCGAGGGGTGGTGCAGGTGTGCGGAGGAAGAGGTGGGGGTGCAGGTCATGCTGGTCATCGTGGTCATGGTGTGGTAGGTGGCATCAGGCTTGAAAGGGTGACTCTTCTGGGCCACGATGTCCACCGCAGCCAGGGCCTCTGCTCTCTGCAGCAGCGACTCATCGAAGCCGGCGAAGATGTTTCCCTGCAGCTGAGAGGAGGACGGAGGAGTTAGAGGAGCACGGAGGAGTTAGAGGAGGACGGAGGAGTTAGGGGAGGACGGAGGAGTTAGGGGAGGATGGAGGAGTTAGAGGAGCACGGAGGAGTTAGAGGGGCCCCAAAATCACAACTTCATCCAACTGAAGGATCCTTCATTAGATCCACTGTTCTAATAACGAAGCTCTTAATCGCTTATAGGACAGAAAACATGAACAAAAATAGGGTTTATATATAAAATATTTTAAATTTTATAATAAAAAAAACTTCGTTGCGTTTTTGTTTCTTTATTTTTTCTGTATAAAATAAATCATAATGCAAAGGGAGACTAAATAAAACATTTAATTAACCTTTATAAACCAACAGTCCAACCTGCCACGCGATTCTCCGCGTGGAAAGAAATTCATTCAAAATTTATATTTACGATCTCCTAAATAATTCCTGCAGACAATGAAACGAGGCCGGTTTGAATATGGATTGGACAATATGAGATAAGACGCGCGTGGGGAGTCCACTCCACGCGCTCTCCATTCAACGCGCTCTCCTCCACATCTAACTTTTTTTTTTTCTCTTTCGGAAAATGAAGCTTTAGTTTTTTTAAATATATATTTTAACTATAACCTGCTGCTTCGGAATAAATTGGCCTTCTTTCCTTTTATTTATTGTTTTTTTTAACCCAATTTATTATTTATCAGAAACATTTTAAGACAAACTATAAATGCGAGTTTTATATTTCTGTTTCCTTTTATAAAACGGATAAGAGGCAGTTTTTATTTTCGTAAACAAAAGAAAAAATAATGATTTAAACAACAAAAAAAGTTCTAAAACGGATTTAGACCGAATTTAAACTTTTCTGTTTCTTTTTTAGTATTTTAGACAATCGATGCAGATGGAACCCTCCCCATAAAAGCCTCCAGGACGCACAGACTCACCGACGGTGTGGGCAGGCATGCTCTGCGGATGGCCTCGGAGCTGGAGTGCAGCGGCGTGTATTTAGGCTCGTGCAGGATGGGATGCATGCTGAAAGGCTGCTTGCTGTTCATCGACATCATGATTGCAGAAGTGAGGGTTGCTCGTTGTCCTTCTTCCTCGTTCGGCTCCGTTTTGGTGATTTTGTTCTGGGAAGAAACGCCTCGCAGAGGAAGGAAACCAACCAGAGGTGCTTTGGTTGTTAAAAAGGTCACCAAGATGTGACTCTGGAAGTTTCTCCTTAAAGTCAGGAAAGAAAAAAAGACCAGGAGAAGAAACTCCTGCCGACCTCCTGTCTGCCTTCCCACTCCGAATGACTCCTATAATAAAGATGCTCCTATATTAGACCTCTACCTCACAGGCTGCTCCTCATTGGACAGCCGCCCCCCCCTCCGCTGCCTTCCTCCACCAATCACATCCTGGAACCTGGCTGCGGCCACACACACAATGACAGTGATGCTGGGAGGTTGCCCTCTGCTGAAGACGTTTCTGAAGTTTATGCAAATTAGTACCTGGATGATAAAAAGTGTCAGATTCACTAATAATCCAATAATCTGATGACCTTTAAAATCTGCTGTTCAACGTTTAAGATAAAAAAACAACATATTCCTACACATATAACTTGATATGCAAGAGCAGTGATGTTTTGTGAACCTCTGTTTTTATATTCTAATCTCAAAATGTGGATTTTCTGTAAGAGTTAAATACGAACAGCCAAACTGTGAGGTGGAAGCAGAAGGCTGGAAGTTTTACAGAATTTTTCAGTCAGAAATCTGGAAAGTGTGGCGCGTGTGTTGAGCTCTGTGGACTCATTTCTGTCCCTGGAGTCAGAAATTAACTTACAAATCTCACTTGAAACTCAAAAAATAAAAGTGGAAACAGAAAAAATAGAAGTGATATTTAATGTCAAATGTTTCCTTATAAACATAAAATAATAAGATTTGAATCTAAATTCAGTTTAGTATTTTAATTACACTTTTTCTTTTTTATTTCTTTTCTTTATTGCAGTTTTAGATTTTATATTTTCAGATTGAAATCAATGTCTTTCATTGTCCTTTTCTTTAGTTCCAAACAATTTTCAGTCTGACGCGAGTGGGCGGGGAAACGTGATTGAAAGGCTTGCAGAAGCGCATTTTTTTCCCCGCATTTTTTTATTCCTTTAGAGACAGCATGAAAAGTCAGCTGAGTACAAAACATAGAGAGGAAAACAAGAAGAAAAGGGACAAGAAGAGAGGGACACAACCTAGAACAGATAATGGATGTCTATTCTATTAACATTTCTATATCTGTAGAATGGGGCTGTTTGATGTGTTATCAATTCAGAGGGGCCCCTGCCTGTCTTTGCCTAGGGCCCCATATTTACTAAATCCACCCCTGGGTGTAATGGAGGGCTGAAATATCCCCGGGATCCATTCCTGCATCTATCAGCAATGTATATAAAAATCCTAAAACAACAACAAAAAAAGGTGTTTTTAGAGATTATTTTGAAATAAAAAACAGGACGAGGTCTTTATATGAACGTTTTTCTTGCTGAAGAAGCAGGATCCCCCATTTTCTGGATATTTTAATCTGATCTCCACTCAGTTATACGATTCTCTAATGAAAGATACTCAAATAGGAATATGCAATCACTCTCATTAATGTGATTTAAGTTAGATTAAATATAGCTGTAACCATTGCATCAATTAATGAAAAGGGAGATATGGGGGATTACAGTTTTGGGTATGTCCTCAGCTCTACACCATAAAAGTTTGTAAATACATGATTCTGTGTGTAAAGAATCTGTTAAACATTGCTGCTTTACTGGGCGTGCAGGTGGTGCCGTGGTTAGCATGCATGACCCATGTACAGAGGCCGGGCGACCCGGGTTCCAACCCGCATGTCTCCCCCCCTCTCTCATTCGCACTTTCCTGTCAGCCTACTGTCGATAAAGCGAGCCACATTGAATTAATTCCTGAAATAAACATGATAAATTATGAAATCTAGTTATCCTATAGTACAAGTTAACTTAAATAAGGACATTAAAATTAATTGTTCATGAAATCATTAATTTGATGGAACTGCAGTCTTGATTTCATTGTTAAAGTAGGTTTCTTAGTTTATATAGTGTTCTGTTTACAGAGCTTCACCTGCTTTCTCTGTTTTACATTTATATTGGTCTTTAGAAAAACATGGCTTTAGTGATTTATAAACGTTTAACATAAAAATGTATGTCTTCTTATCTGCTAAAATAGGAAGTACATTTCAGACAAACTTTTCAGGGTCTCAAATGGATCCTAGGCAGAAGTTCAACTGAAGGAACTCATTGGTCTCCTTCATCCACCTGCGATGCAGCCAATCAGCTTTGAACCACACCTCCATGAAAGCCAATCAGCATCCAGAGTTCATCTTAAAAGGCCTCCGATCTGAAACTCCGTCTGCTCCTAGTAAACAGGCGGTGGATGCGCTGTGATGTCATTCAGATGACCCCGTTTCCACCCCCCCTCCAGCCCCTCCTCCACCATCGTAGCTAAAGCTTCATCAGAGCGTCATTCCTCCTGGACTCTCACTGCGTTCCACGTCTCATCTCAACCGGTCCGGCAGCAGACCGCCATGTTGAGTCTGGTTCTGCCAGAGGTTTCTTCCAAAAGGGGAGTTTTTCCTCTCCACTGTCGCTTCATGCTTGCTCATCAAACTTCCATCTTCCAGGTCCCTGAGTGAAGCTCTAGTATCAGCTCACGCAGTCCACTGGATCTCCCCATAAAGCTCAGCAGACCGTCTCTCCAACCAGCAGTCTACAGACTGACCAACTCCATCTATCTCCACTCCACCACCAGTTTCAGGCCTGGGGGGGAAACATCCCTGTTCTTTGCTCCTGTTCAGAATCAGAATCAGAAATACTTTAACAATCCCAGAGGGAAATGACTTTTGTTCATGCATATCGATCAAAATTCAGCGCTAATGTTTCCTGCCGAGGTCTGAGCGCCAAAGAATAAAGTAATGGTATAAATAAATTTCTTCTTTCTTTTCTTTTAATATTAAAGTTCTGGCAACCGGAAATCAGAGCTCAGATAAAAAAAGTTAATAAAAAAAAAAATAAAAAAATTAGATGTTGTATAATGTGTAACTTATGAAAAAGATTAATTCCTCCTACAGTCCAAAAACATGATGTTAGGTTAATTGGCTTCTCTTAATCCTCCTTAGGTGAGTGTGAATGGTTGTTTGTCCT